GTTCCAAAACAGAATTGACTCCCTTTAGAGTCAGTTCCCCATTCCGTGAAAAATAAACGGAATAAAAATAAAGTCTTTGCTTTTAAGCTTTCCCGCGGCGCAACAAAATTTGTTGCAAAGCTAACATGCGTCATTGATGTCCAGTTTAGCAAAATAATTTTTGAAAAGACGGGTGGTCATCGTGTAAACCTCTAATTTCTTTCGTTAATGATCAATGACCTTTTGCAAAGGCTAAATAGCGCCGATATTTGAATAACAAAACTTATACACCCTGATATTCATGTGAAAAATCCTTTGTCTGGAAACATCAATACGAGGTTAAGGATGTATAAAATATTGTTATTCAAAAATAGGCGCCATTTATGCAAAGGTTCTATTAGTCGTTATATCTTGGCTTATAACCTCCTTGTACTAGCTGTGAAACAGAAAAAAAACCGCCTATCTAAACTCACAAAGGCTTATTTTCCTCCTTTAATCCTAAAGCCAGTTTCATTTGTTTCTTTGTATTTTTTGTTCTGTCTTTGCGACATTTCGCTAATGATAAATTACAATTCGGTGCCTAACTTACAATATGTTATATACAATAAACTACTAAAGCCAGTTTCATAGTTTTGCATGTATTCAGTGCAACTGTTTTTGGGCCTGATCCATAAGCTTTAATCTTTTCTTGAATTGACTGGTTTAAGCTATCAAAAAGGAAATATAGAGGAACATAGCAATTTTCACCGTTTTTTTGTTGTTGTTGTTGTTGTTGTTGTTGTTGCTTTGAGTTATAGTTCGTTTCATTTCTAAATATCAGGGGATTGTGGAAAAAAACTACGGTTTTCTCCAATTTACAAAATTAAATGTGTTCTTTGACAAAAAACTGACCTTTGGAGAGACAAATGATGATTATTAAAGTAAAGCTAAAAGCCTATTAAATGTGGATCGTTTACCCTTGAAGAAAGGCTATTAGGGGTGATAGACTCTATCATAGGAAATGAAACTAGTTTATATGGAATGAAAAAAAATTCTGTTATAGTTACGATGAAGATCTTATACAAACGAGAAGTTATTTCGCATGTGCCTGATTAATTACATAAACAAAATGATTAGACTCAAAAGCAATACAGTGGCGTATTTTTCTCTGTCTGTGGAGTCTTGAAGATTAAAAACGTCTCTATTAAATACTTGAGTTCTTTAATTATTGATAATCTTTAAATTAACTATACGGTGAAATTACTTTTAGTATTCAATATTGACTTCTTTTAATTGAACAGGTGAATGCTGCAAAATTAAAGAACGAGATGACGAGTGGATGCCAGAAATAACTGATGCGTAATAATAACAAAGCATGCAAAGCCACGATTTCAAACTTAGTATATTTAACTTTGCTACGCGGGCGAAATTCCTTTCCACTGGCAGTAGACCCTCTGTATAAATGGCGCCTAAATTTGAGTAACAATACCTTGTACATCCTTAGTTTCGTATTCATGTTTCCAAACAAAGGATTATTCACATGAATGTGAGGCTAATGATGTAGAGA